TAAAATTATTCTGCCACAAAATCAAATTATTGTTACAGTGTTACAATTGTACGAATTAGCGAAATGCAAATTAAGACTTAACGAATGCGCTCAAACAGGTTCTGTATCAACAAGCCAAAAACTATATAACGTTAAACTGCCTTTTCTTACCTGTCTTCAAGTTTTTGTTTCCTTTTTGGTTCATCATTAGCTGGTGTTTATTGGTTTTTTAATTTTCGTTCTTCTTGATAAATTTTATAAGCAATTTTTTTTATCTGGATATTCCTGGAGAGTTTGGGAATTATAAATTTAAAATCATATTAGTAATTAAACCACAATGTTTTTCTGGTCTCTCCAGGTAAACGTGAGGCATAGCACTTGCTTATCTGTCTGAAGGTGCAGTTAAGACTAATTTGAAAGCGGTTGCAAAAATATACTAATAACGCTTGTTCGTACCCTTAACAACGAATATCTTCACCAATTCCTTGGACAGGGCCATTGGGAACGAATGGACGAATGAGAAAAACTTGGTAACGAAAAATGGTCCCAATACACGATATGAGATGTTTCGATTCGATATTGTATAAAAGAATGCCAGCAGCAACTTATATAACTTTATTTTACAGGAACAAAAAATTTATCAGGATAGCAAAGAGATCATTAGGCAAAATAAACATGCAGATATTATTAAAAAAATTTGACAAATACTACGGGCTAGAAAGGAGGATATGTTTCTCGACGCGTAGAACCGTAAATAATTGTTTTTATTTCGCGTAATCAGCAATAGTAAGCTTTCACAATGGAGAAAGAGCAGTCATGTCCTAGGCCTACCTCACAAGTCCCTATTCTTTGTGCTCCTTGTTTTCTGCTGCTGATGTCATCACTTTTTAGCTGTGAAACAGAGTTGTGCTTTTTGTTTTTATCATTATTAATATCAAATACCAATAACTTTACTGCAGAACTAAATCTAGTCCCATAGCTTCGTGCGTGAACCATAGTTGTGACACGAAAGTAAAGCTTTCCCAAAACATCATCTTGATTTTTTAGCCATTTAAGTCATGTTCACTTTGTTACAAATTAGAATTTGAGCGTTTATTCAGTGAAGCCATTACATATTAATCTTACACAGGAACCAATCATTAAATTCTGGCAAATGGCCAACCGAGGACTTTTGACTAACTAGACAAATGCAAAAAGCCAACTCTCATTGAAGACATAAAAGGCTTAACTAACTGCTGTAAACTCAGGGATGCCAATATAAATAATGTCAAATAGTTGAGACTGGGCATTCGTCATCATAAACCAGCTTACTCGGATATATTGAAGGAAAACAAAAAACCTAAAATTCATTCAATGGATTCGATGCTTAAAATTTTGACTGGTCACGGTAACTACTTGTATCGAACCAACCAGTGATTTGTTCCCATCCCCTCTTAGGTAATGTCAGGAGACCTTTCCACGTGAGACGCTGTAAAACAGGGATTGCACATACCGCATACTATATGAAGATTCATTATGATAACCCATTGTATGCGACAGATAAGTAAGCAACGTGTCTATGCGTCGTTATGTATGGGGGAATAAATAAATTTGGAGAATTACGGAGACAGGCCGAACACATGAAACAGCATTATCATTAATAAGTGAATGTCTGAGTAGTCACTTATCTTGTGCTGCATAACATTGTGTACTTATCGTTTGGGGGGTTTTGTGCATTAGAGTGCTCCGGTTCTTCATTGAAAGTATTGCGAAAGGTATTCTTGACATTAGTTCAATGCGCATAGCATTCATATATTTCATAGAAGTAACGGTTTGATAGAGATGATTTCGCGCCGTCGAACTATTGCCGTTCGACTTGTTCCATCATTATTTGTCAACCCGAGATGTTTCAGAGTAGTACAATAAAAGCATTGTGTGTGTTAGCTATGAGCAAAGATTGTATTTTATCATTAACGGTAATTTGATAGTCGATGTTATCTATAGATACTTGACGCTCACGTGAGAGTTTTTTTGTAGCACGATCGTAAGATGTGGTCGTGTGATGCTTATTGCGATGTATTTGGGCATTGTGCTATGATTACTCTGAGTTTACCATTGTTTGCTGATGTACGCCCAGTTACTTATTGTGTTGTGCATCAATAAGAACGTCATTGAGCAGGATATTAGATAAAGAGACAAAACGCATAGACGTGACGATTGTTATCTTTCGGTTTATTATCATTACCGTTTTTAGTGATGGGCTAATACTAAGGAACAATAATATGGTCAGAGAGAGGCATAAGTTTACAATATGCCGCAGCCCATAAAAAGTTTGAAATAAAGATGTAAAAAAGCGAGTAAAGGATTGACAATAATTACAAAATAAGGAAATGAAGTGACAGCCAGGATCCAATAAGAAACATGTAATGGGGACACAGAATGAAACTCCGCGCCATAACAATGAAATCCATTGTCAATACCTGATGTATTAATAAACACCAAATGATATATGATCTGTTGTCTGTATACAGTGTATGGGGTAAGAGCGATCGCCAGCAAGCATTGGCTTTTGAAAGTAGACATGTAGGCGTATAAGAAAAAGACTGGCGTATACTTGCCAAAAACACAATGAAGAGAATAAAATGCTATTATAATTATGATGTATAAATGCGCTATTGAATAACCATACGTTATTTTAGATTACTGGCATAAGTCTGTCAGTTGTGCGTCGCATAACCAGATTGAAAGCTATCCATTCATTGTTTATTCAACGACAAGTACGGCGTCATGGTAATAATCCCAACCACAAAATATAAACATAAACACATATAATCCTCAGGATGTAGGGTTGTTATGGCATGGGCTATACATGTATATGATATAATACTATATTGCGTGTTATTGTTGTTGTTGTTGTTGTTGTTGCTGCTGCTGCTGCTGCTGCCGCTGCCGCTGCGCTACTGCTGCGTGCTGCCTCTTTTGTTGCTGTTGGTATCATCATGTTGTATATACATTAACGATATGTTATTATCATATGTTATGTATCATTGTACATACGATAATATGTTGATGCATCATCGTATTACGACAGATAAATTACTGATGATCTCTGATTATTGTTGATGGGAAATTTCTGTTGGTGGAGCTCTGGCATGGGGGGTTATACGGATTCCATGTGTCAAATGTTTTGACATTTATGTCGTGTTTCACTGTTCGATTTACTTTCTGCAACCAGCCAGCGCTCAGCCATCACACATCACAATAAGTCTCCTGATTGTGTACGAATAGCTCGATAGACAGTTACAGCTACGATACATCACTGGAGACGTTGGATTCGAAAGAAAAACGTCTCATAGTCAATAACTGCAATCGGCAATAATAAGTCCATTATCATCAGAATGCATTATGCAAATACCCCATATACACAATAGCAATAATTGGTTACTCCACATTAAGACAATTATGCAGATATAAACAATACACAAATTCAGTATAACCCCCATTCACTATACATACATCAATTGTCAATGGCAAGTAATCAATTCCACATTTGCATGCTGGCACACACATACAAACATGGATTATCTAGAAGACATTGATATTGTTGTAATACATGTACACATAAATAAATACATTTTTATGTAAAACATAACATGTGGTGGATTGTCATTTAAGTCTTGGTGAAGTGTAAGCTTTGGGCTTTATATGGGTATAATGAGTGATTTGTGGAAGAAGCAAGCATGAATCTATATCTATTGATGTCATAGATACGCGTATAATCGGTACAGCATGTTATTCCCTATTGCTAATCTTGGTCGTATATTGTTGGATCCATATTGGTTCATAATGCATCTACTTTGATGGTAAGCATATGCTATGGTAAGACTGTATGTTATAGAACGTAGACATGACAATTAGCATACGCATTTACTAACATAAAATCATTATAATTGTATGTCCCTTTATCGACTGTATGCTGTTGCGTACTTCGGAAGCTTGGTGACTAACACAATAAACCGATCATAATCAATAAACAACTTGCTCCGAACTATTTCTTGTCTGCTGTGATGTGCAATAAAATAATCCGAACAATAGCAGCCGTCATCAGGGCTAATGTAAAGTAAGTAATAAAATAATATTGCACCTGCGTACAGACAGTCAATGCCAGATTGTTGTTATTGTTGTCGTTAGCCTGTTCACTCTACTTAGTCAACTGCAGGTATCCAATGATATTAGTCCGAATGCATATGTTTATTAATAGAAATATAATGAACACACTAACACTTATACATCTGCCTGTATAAATTACATTATCAGTAATTGTATACCCGTACAACACATTTGTATTCATTTTGAACTAGTATCCGTATTGCTCTAATCTTTGTTTATTTGCTCCTATAATTTACTTTCCAAATGCACGATTAAAAAAGCTATTGTATTTTGACTCAACGCCAACCACACTTTATAACTTATTTCCTCCAATTTGGTCATAAAATTTTTGTACTTATTTGTATTAGAAATCATTCTGTATATATATCAACTCCACATTCACATCCAAACTAGTTCCCTTTGATTACGAACCGTGTTACGATTTCTACACTATTGACAAAAGTCGGGTCTTCCCTTCTTACTGTAAAAGCTCTATGACATATATCACACGTTCTCTTTAACTTTCTTAATCAGACATATATATATATCAAGAATATTAAAATTATAAATAAAAATAAAAAAAAACAAACAACCTAACGAAGACCATTTACGCATATTCGAAACGGCTCTAATCACCTTCGCACCGAAACAATTAGTTTCACTTAACCATAATACTCCCACGATCCGATTATTCCATCCGATTTAGTTCGCATTCAACCTATTAAGAATCAAATCCTGACTATCCTACTGCCTTACGATTTAGGGTATCGTCTTAAATTATACATAACACTATCACTTTCGATTACATTCGCAACTCCCTTACGCAGACTTTAGCCTGCAGAATCCGTCCACCGCTTACTGCGTTCTCGATCTCAAGGTCTCGGAAGTTCAATATGCCTCACGCTACAGAGATACCTGCTAACGATCCGACACATATGGAGAGCTCTATCTCCTCGCCAATACCAATCCCAAGCATGCCGTCAACGAGAACACATGCTTGGAACGAACAACAACCCATGACTTATACTGCGACCGCGCCAACTCCCTCATCGGCCGCCCCAATCGAAACCACGGCTTCTCTAGAGTAAGTTTCTCTATACGACTTCACAACCAATATTTCTTTCCATATTTCACTGGCTTGTTGTGATATATCCCGCTCCATCTTGCGAGAATTCACATGATTCGAGCCTAAGGATATTTATTCTACTACGCTTGTTTCTCAACAGTGTTTGCTTTCCAACTTGTCTTTATAAATACTTAATAACTTGAGAGCGAACTAGAAAAATTCAATACGTAATATATTATCAACCGTATTGTAAAATCTATACCAAAGATAACTCATTATTCCCTGTTATTTGGTAATTCTAGGTACAATCCATTTCTGACATCACTCTTGAGTTCTGAAGAGTTGATTGATGTCTACGGTGGCAGTTACGAAATTGATGATCAATTATACCAAGCATCTTCTTTGATCTCCGACTCGAAAAAGTTTGAAAATCCATCTTTTAAATGTTGCGGCCTCGTGTTGGACTGGCAAGCCCTTCACAGACACAATCAAACACGACATTATCCTTCTGACAGCCTGCGTAAGTATCAACGAGTATGAATATGACAGTTTGTTTGAACAAGGGGATATCCTACTTACTTCAATCTTCTTTGAATCAGCTGTAGGAGACTGGATCGGTTCTGTGACACCCACTACCGAGGTCTTTTCAACGTCCCCATATCTCAATCTTTCACCACGATCCTCACCTAAAACTCCACGTGACGGTCAAAGCCCTCAGATAAGTGACGTCATGGAAACATCGCCGAGTTCGACCGTTACCGCTCTTGCTTCATCTTCGCCGACCACCAAAAAGTCTCAGTCTAACGCCACAGCTCAAAATATTGCACAAGGATTACTTCATAACTATCAACGAGCTCAATCGCTGTGGGCTCTAGAAAACTGCGATCCGCACAATATATCGTGCCAACGTCAATTATCGCAGAGCCTGCCACAATTCGACTCTGACAACACCATGGAACTTATTCCTGCATTGGCAGGAAATCAACAGTATGTTATCCCTGGACTTTTACACCAAAGCAATATCGGGGGCATATCTGTGACGTCACCAGTACATAATGTTAATGCTTCGGTTGGCATACGATTCTCGGATTCGCCTCTGATTGGGACAGCTTTAGTTGACTATAATGATCCGCAAAGGCGTCGTTCAGCTCCTTCTATTCTACCTTCGACCACCCAATATACGAGTTCAATCGATTTGATGTCTGTTCCGTACGCCCCTAACTACGCCTCGTCCAACACAATGAGACAAATCGCAGTTTCTCCAACAACGGGATATCCAACTTCTGAGGATGTTACTCCAGTGTCTCTGTCTCATGCGAGCACTCTCACAACACGGTGTGAACTGAATAACCTGACCTCGCCAAGTATGTAATGTAACGAATTAATAGTGTAATTCCTATTTGGGGTTCTTAACTTATCCACATCTATTTGGTGTCTTTTGCAGCTTCTGCACCATCATCGTTGTCGATAAATACTACTCGTTTCACAAACATAGACGTTCTCGTTGCATCCCCAACTGAGATTTGTCGCATGCCTGATCATGGTAAGACAAATCAATTGATTTTTAAAAAGCAAACAAATTTGACGTAGTAATCTCAAACTTTTTTATTTAATTCTTCAGACATTACTTCGACTTTTGCATTTAATTCCTCAACAAACTCTGCATTCGCAACAACTGGTCATACAGTTTCTTTGGCGGAGGTTTATTCTGGGCCACCAGGAACATCTAAACCAAGCAAGAAAAAATCTAGAAATACTGCAGGTGGACAGTTAATAAACAACGCTCAAACATGGTATATTTATGTCTACTACATTTATATTATTCTTACTCTTCTGGGCTTTCTCTAGAAGGCTTTTGCTGTGTTTAATTAGTGTTTTCTAATTCAATCACAAAACTATTGCAGCATATCTTCTAATACATGTTGGATCAGGAATAATGATATGAACACATCAAGAAACGAACAGGGCCAGGAAGCACCTGTTCATGCTCCTCGTGGATTGAAACGAACGCAGTCATGTCCCACAGACTCTACCGCAGCAGCAAACAAACGACGTACAATGCAGGTACGGTATTCATATAATGCCTTCTACGAACTGTTGCTGGTTCTGAATCATCTGCTTGCTTTAATACGTCAATTATTCCATATAGCCTAGTCAATCGGTTGTTGCTACGACTCCTCTTGTTTCCGTAATTCAGTCTTCTCCTGATGCATCCGCCATAGTCAAAACTTCAACCGTTGCGGAAGCTGAAGCAAGTAAACCCTTTCGATGTACTGTCGTCGGGTGTCCGAAGACATATAAGAATGCGAACGGTCTTAAATATCATAAAGCGCACGGTCATAGCACTCAGTCAGGGAATGGGGATCGTTGCGCTGAAAAACCCTACAAGTGCGACATCGATAGTTGTACGAAAGCTTATAAGAACCCAAATGGTTTGAAATACCATTTAGATCATCATCATCCAGGGTATGTTAAACCCACCAACGGATTGAAATATCATCTGGATCACCATAATTCAGGACGCGGCCTCCAAGTCATTAATACCGCGGTCGTAGGGGCAGGCCAACAAATACCTATTTCCCAATAGACGTCTCGCTGATTAACTCAGCTGAACCGAAAACTGCAGTGGTACGTTTGGCATGATTTTTTAGCACAACTCATGCTGAATTCATCACCAACTAAATTGTCTGTCTTCACCCATTACAGTGTCCTGCAGGATTAATTACGTGAACTAAATCTATGCATTATAAACAACATAAGGGAGGTCCGGATCAGGCATTCTTTCACTATGGACTATATGCATCTCAAGCCTTTTCATATGACAAGCGGGAAAACCCGCCTTTAATTCATTTGTAATTTTGTTTCGTTTTATTGTTAAATTGTTAATTTTAACCAATATTGATCTGCAACTGCGATCAATGAAACCACAAAGTTGACGAATTATAGACATGACATTACGCATAATACAAGCGTGTCTTGACGACATGCGCTAATCATACTATAGATACATAAAAACGCATTTTTTTTTCCGGTTATCAACTTTATACGGGGCGCCAATCGTTCTTCTCGATAATAATTTTTATACATTAGCCTCTGTACTTTACGTTATCTTTTCTTATATACAACTTCTCATCCAAAAGTATCTTATTAGAATAATCATTAGTATTTTCGTTTCCGTTTAATCTGTCGATTCTTCAAGAAAATCTATTCTCTATTAAGCTATTAATCGGCCTAGAATGAAGTTTGAATTAAAGTGATCTGATGATCAGCTACACTAAATGCTAATGAACAGCTCGTCTCCTGAAATTGTGACGCTTGAGCGGGAAGAGCGAGTTGGTCATAATACTTGTGCGTTAGACACATAGTCAAAGCTAGCTCATATTAACGGACCATTAGTCCCGAAGATTGGGCACAAAGTTAATTGCATCCTGAACGTTAACAGGTGAAACGGTTGTATGGAGTTTAATAATGTTGTGTGCGGCAATTCCATTTCGATACTAATACTAAATATAAAATGAGCAATTCCTTAAAATGAACAGTAACTAAAATCAGCTTGTACCGTACCCCCGGAAATAATGGCGCGTTAAAACCACATTTAACATGCAAGTAATAAATCTGCCTTCCCGCTACAATTCTGCATACAGGTAATACAATTAGATAAAATCATCAACGTGACAGAGGATAGCAACTTTGCTATCCGTATGTAAATGCCACAAAAAAACAAAGAAAAAAAAACAACGGATGTCACCATTTCAACAAATACAAAGCAAATGCTTTTATTTCGTTTTTTCGGGCTGGTTAATAAGTTTATATCACGTGAGCGATGGTTTTGGAGAAGACGATTATGGTGACAAAACAATAAATAATATTATTAACAATGATAATAATAGTTAGCAGTGGTAATAGCGGTCAGCAGGTAGTCGTAGTAGTAGTCGTAGTAGTAGTAGTAGCAGTAGTAATAGTAGTAGCAGCAGTAGTAGTAATAGTAGCAGCAGCAGCAGCAGTAGTAGTAGTAGTAATAGTAGTAGTAAATAGTAATAATAACAATAATAAAATACTCAACGTGCAGAATTACCTAACATGGAATGTATCTTAATATTATATAAGTTCTTCTAATTGCTTAAAAGTCAGTAATCCTTTCACCTTATTATTCTTATCCACTACTGGCAGTGTAGAAATAGAATAGTCACTTTCTTCCATCAGACGCTTAGCCTCATTCGCCAAGTCATCCACGAAACAAGTCACTGGATTTCGCGACATTACATCATTTGCATTCAACTCAAAGAACTGACCCCTAAGCGCAATTGCCCTCCGGATATCGCCACTCGTTATGACTCCCACTACGCTATGACCAGAATCATCGATGACTAGTGCCACTGAATTACACTTATAATCCATCATCTCAGCAACCACTCTATCCATTTTTGTTGACATGAAAACTGTTAACACATCGGAAATATGGTACATAATATCTTTTACTTTCAGCAATAACCGACGGCCTAACGAGCCTCCAGGATGGTTCAATGCAAAACTTTGCGGAGTAAACCCGCGCAATTCCATCAAAGTTATAGCCACGGCATCACCAAGCGCCAATGCAAGGGTAGTGGAAGTGGTCGGAGCGGGGATATATTGGCAAGCTTCGCTCTTTACATGGCCGTCTAACCAGATGTCAGACTCTTTGACCAACCGAGAGTTCTTATTGCCACATAATGCAATTACGGACACATTACGTTTTCTTAACGATGGCATCAACCTCAGTACTTCCTCTGTATTCCCGGAGTAGCTAATTGCAATAACAGTATCATTCGCTTGAATAACACCCAGATCACCGTGAAGACCTTCAACTGGATGTAAAAATACAGCACAGCTGCCCGTACTCTGCAAAGTCGCAACTATCTTTTCTCCAATCTTTCCTGATTTACCAACACCGGTTACTACTATCTTCCCTCCCCTATCAAGAGTCTGAAACAGCCGATAAATTGCTTGATGAAATTGGTCTTTATTCTCATGACGTAATCTTTCTGCACAATCTGCTAACGCATTACTTTCTTGCAACAGAATACGGGATGCCTCTTGGATGATTTCATCTGATGTCATGGTAGGAGTAGGAGTGCTGGGCATAATGGAGGTATCTTTTTGTGACAGCGTTATGTGTGTGGTAGGAAAATACACTGTAGCAGGAGATTGAGCTAACATTTGTTGTTCTGAATATTGATACGTCCAAAATTTTTGGTTTCAGACTGTTGTTGGTCTCGGTCTTGTAGATATTGTTTGACTCAAAAAAAAAAGTTTCGGATATGTCCTTGCGGATCGTGTAATCGATATCAGATGTGTACGACAATGTATTATTCATGCGCGTATACAGTAACGTGTCGAAATAAGTTCAGGAACTGGATAATACGGTTCGGAAAAACATTAAACATGAATGTCGCACGATTACATTTTCAGCTGCGCCACAGGATAAATTTGAGATTAGTCATCTTTTCTTGAGCCATTTACCCATCACAAGAAACTTATAATTTAAAATGATACTTACCGTGATGGCAAGGTTCTATCGAACCGTCGAATGTTACACATTTCTTAATACATTTACCTCTCAACGAACGACTAGTGCTGGTTTTTGTCGGAACAGGTTACCATTACGATGATAATAAAAAAGTAAACGGAATTGAAAAATGTGTAATCGCTCAGATGGTGCAATCGTACCACAGACTTCTTCTGACATTTGCAAAATTTACTTGAGATTACTAATCAGTCAGTAAACTTTCAAACGCTTCAGTGTTATCCGTAACGTAGTGCTTATATTAACAAAGAAAGCGGAGACGAATAATTATCTTTGATCTTTCCCGCGATCCAATTTGGAAATATATTTTCTACTGAACTACTTGCATATCATAATTTAGGTCTTTTCGATACTATTAATCATCACGATACGAACGAGCATAACTGGGCATCAAATATTTTGAATCTGCTTAGCGGCAAATTGTCTTATGTCAACATTGTTTGTGATAATAGCGAATAAAGTGCGTCTATTTCGAACTGGGCTCGGAGTCCAGAACAACAATATTGCTGTGTCATCCATTATAAATCATTTTGTGATTGTTCAAGTTCATTTTCATTCGATGGTAATTATTACCGGCAGCCTGTAAATTCCACAAACCCGATTTCACCCGACATACCTTTAGGCGTCCTGATATAGTTAATACCAATATTGTGACGATCAGCTACTCATACTCTAGTTCGGTTGATGTTGTAGTCAAAATCTTAATCTTTGCCGATTAAGTATCTCAATTCCTAAGCAGACATAAACGATGGTTAAAATTTCATTCGGTTATTTGCGTTGTCACAAAATGATCCTTATAAACCTCTAATTATCTCCGATCTCAACTTTGTGTTATATTCAAGACTGTTAACAGAATCAAGATTACGCGAAGCAATAAAATTCGCTAGCAAAAACCTATCTATGTAGGATACGAAACGGTGGAAAAACAATTTGTTATATGGCATATCAGCGATTATGACAGATACAAAGTTACCGACTTTTGTTCATAAGGATTAAAGCAATTCTTCCGAAATTTCACAAATAAACTAATTTTATTAGAATTTTGAATGGAGAGTTTATTTGGGGGCAGTTTATGTCTAATAACATATATTCTAACTATAATTCCGAAGTACAGAGTCAATACGCAATGATTACACTGTCAGGAAACTGTGCAACCACATAATTTGCGTAGTAGGTAAAATGAGCGACAAAACAAAAGGCAGAGTGTACTTCTCTGTAAGGAAACGCTCTTCAGAAGCTCCACTTCCCTATAGTAATGGACAGTAATAGTAATGGAGTCCATCCGCTGATTTATTAAACCATAATATTCTTTAACTTCATATGACACTATATGTAGGAGATCTATATCTATTAAGTTCAGCAATTTTTGCATTAATAAAAGAAGGATTGCTTAATTTAATTTCTTTCCTCTGTAATCCTGTTAATGAAGTTTTAATGCATTTAGCGTCCCTATGTCTGCATTAGAATTGTTGGGCAGAAATTCTCTTGCGTCGTATTAAGAGAATTGGTTGAGCCATTGTTACGTTTATTAATATACTGTACAAACAATAACTTGATTTTGTTGGTATAAAGTAAAACACAAGTAAAAACTAATCATATGGCTTGATTAAAATCCAGCCATTATAAGGTGGCATTTTTTGGTACAGAAAAATTCCGATATAACACAAAACCGGTAGAGCCAGAGTCATTATTTATGTTCCGCTTCTCTCTTATATATTACATTTGGTATTCGGATTGTCCGCTTTGTTAAGCCTTCAACTACCAAGTAAACGCCTATCCGAATCAGGTAGTATGACATGATATGAACTTACCACTATTAAATTTGTTATAACGAGGTTTGGCTGTATTTTTAAAGAAATGGTAGTATGTTGTTACTGCCGAAAATTTTGGTCTTTTTTTTTAACACCAAATTTTAAATAAAATTGAACGACACTTGGTCTCTTGCGACGTAATTGTTCTGCTATTCATCAGAAATAACATCCAGAGTTTTATTTCCGAGAATACGTCATATTGTTATGCAGTATATCTAAAAACGGGAGGCATTTATTTCGCCGACAAAGTTTCGAAATTTGTCGGTGAAATAAACCAGACCCATATAAACTAGTTATTATTGCGAGCACAGCGACTCAATCTTGATGTTTTTAATTAACAAATTATTTGTCAGCGGTATAATGTTATAATTAAAGATTGAATATCGTATGATGGTACGCTGAGTACGTAAGGTGTCGGAAAAGTTTTGACAATGTAGATTTATTTCAATGATCTGTGCACCTACTCAAATAAAATGAAGTTCAAGGTTCAGTTGATCTTGCGTCTGACACGATTTGGTTTGACTATTATTGAGAAATTTGTTCAAAAACCCTTCCAAAACTATTGGCGAATTCTACGCAAGAACGTCAACATTATTACCTTTTTTTTGGCTAGAAATTAGTTAAAATATATTACAAATTTACCAAGAGTTGAGCGTTATTGAAAACCAATACGCTGCTGGGCATGCGCTATTTACTTGTGGATTAAAGCATTTGAAGATGGAAACAAGAGCATTGAAGATAATTCCGTGCTCGTTTGACAAAAAATTGAGAAACTAATTTCCCATAATTGTAAGAATTGTAGGAACTATAAATTGAAATTTCTGAAAAAGAATCAAGTATATCTTACACAGTCAACATAAAGTGTGTTCAGGATGAATTTTATACATCACAACCTCATAGTAATAGAGCAGAAGCTGTTAATAGTTTTTAGGAAGAAAAGAGTCTATTAGGACCACATTCTTATTACAATCCAGATATAGATTTCCCGTCTTTTTTGAATAAAAAAAACAGAGCAAAAAAAATTTAGAAAGATTAAAGTCTTCTACAAGTTTTTAGGCAAGGTCACAAAGCATACAAATAAGAAGTACTACAGAGTCTTTCAAAGAGCTGAAACGTTGCATAAAATGCGTGGCTGGTTCAAAAAGTTCTTGCCGCATACTTCTCATTTTACGGGTTGATAACCTACAACAATAAAAGTTCAAACAAATTTGGTTCATTTAAATAGATAGTTGTTGAGATATCTTTCGTTCATTGAAACAACTAGCTTGAATTTTACGTGAACAATACTGATTTCACATACTTGTTAGAATGACAAAATGTGACAAATGTTAGTAAAATTAATGCAAAATTAACAAAATTTTGTAGAGATATAAAGCACTAACATTACTTTAACAGCTGGTTAAAACTTGGAAGGCAAGCCCTTTATTCAGAAAATCCTCGCGGAGCAAGTTTGGAAAAATATCTACAGTTTGCTTAATAAAGACCCTTATAAAAAATATATATAAACAAAGTTGTCTTTAAGCCAAGTGGCAAAAACTACCCGCGTAAGCTGAGAGTATTGTAAACGAATATTTCAAAACTATTATGTACATTCTCAAGAAATAAATATATTGCCACAGCTTTTCAGACTGTTTACGTATTGTTCATGCGTTAATTATGATTGTAACCCTACTGATAAGGCTTGCAGCCTTAACTGCACAAGTAACGATTGCATTAATTGTTATGGGTGTGCATTTAACAAGTATATCTTGTGGTATACCTTACTCTTAAAAATAAATAACGGATGTTCATTTCTTGATCTTTCGCGTTAAGACAAATCATGTTATTAAAAATCGTTGTTGTATCCGGTGTGTAATTATCATAGATATCACATCGCAAACTTCACGTCCCAGAATGAGGCACAACATTTGTTCGATGAAAAAGTAATTTATAAATCGAATTTAAATTTATATTGTACATTTACTTTTTTGTTGTTGTTTAATATATTCAAGCATAATAAACGACAATATGATTACTAGTCAACGAAATGAACCGGACACCTTATTTACGGCTTGTTATATAAGTGGTTGTTAAATGCGTTCTAGACCGGTGATAAGTAGGATGCAAAGTATCCCACCACCTCTAATTCGAGACAGGAATAATCAAACAGTTTGTAAATTTCCCTGCATATAGTGTATAACAGATCCTGATAATGTGTGAAATTCAGATGCTTACAGCAAATCTTATCTGCATCGTTAAAAACATACGAAAAACATGTAAAACCATATGCCGCTTGTTAGAGACATAAACTTTAAAATCTATATTAATATCTCCATATGTTTCTAATCAATTTGCATAAAATTTTTTTGTGTAGGTTGCTAAATTTTACATTCTCTAGTTTTTTGGAATATCAGTCAAAATTAGGAGAAAACCGCTAGTAAATACTGTATCATCATGTCACATAATTATTTGCAATTTTAGTAGCCATTACGCAGTAATTTGTTCAACAATCATTTAAATACATGCTGACAGTCTAGGAAAACAAATAAAAAAAGATGCAAAATTTGGTTGGAAAAGGGTCGAGATATAATTTTGATATTTTTGAAACAGGATTTGTTATACAACATATGCAGAAATTTTTTCAAATCGTTTGATTATTCTTGCCCTGAATTAGAAGTGGTGGGATACGTTTGCATTCTAACGTATAACAATGTAGGCTGGGCTGTATCGTTCTTTTTGCAGTTCCATGAAGTCGCTCACGCTGTGCTTTAAAATTTCACTGTCTTCATCTTCTGACCCAACTCATCCAAAACTAACGTATCGACTAGGACGGGTGAAGGAGATAAATACTATTATTATTTACATTGCTGATTGAAATTCGTCAGTCATATGGTTTGTGAGTCAGTCGCACTACCAAATCCGGTTACCATACAATAATAGAAATAAGACGGCTGAAATGTGCGGACCCGTGCTGTGTTATTGTTATCATGTAAGTTATAATCTTATTTCAAAAAACTAACGTGTTTTCCCTTTTTTTATTTTTTATCTTTAAATGAAATACTGCACTATCATGAAGACTTCCCAATGTACCCGCATAGTTACATACAGAACAATTGATACCCATTTTTGAGACTGTAGACTTTTATAATAGCTACATGTTTATGGGTTGTCTCATCAAAAAGCCTAATATTATACATCGTTTCCACTAGTGTGAACAACACTTTTCGAACGAGATTCTTCAAACAGGAGCGGCGGCTTGTAAAACAGACGTTGATGGTAACTTTCTAACAAATTATTGTTACTATTAGATGATATGAGTTCGAAAAGTGTCATACGCTCAGAAGCTTGACCAGAAGTCTGTTTGTTTTGTAACAGGGGAATTTACAATTCGTCAGTCATATAGTTTGTGAGTTAGTTGTACTACTAAATCCGGTTATTCATGCGGTAATAGTAATAGAAATAAGACCGTATTTAACGGCTGAAATGTGCGGACCCGTAGACATACTGCTGATGCATCCGTTGGATGGACACCTTTTCAATCTCTCGTATAATGCACCGCTGAATTATTTGTAATCAAAAGCAAGCTATCATTTACAAACGTTAAATCGGAGTCGACAAATCAAATACCGTGGGTGGTATTGAATAAAAATACACGCAAGGAAAATCCGCAGTAATAGCGACAGTGCATAAGCCAATACAAAGTCGTCAGTTAAGTGAAACCGAATACGGAGGCCTTTGATCGAAAATAAGGAGGCGCTACGGAAGACGATAAAAGTCGCCGATATCGTGGTAAAAAGAAAAGGAAAAAGTAGCAGTTGACGAAGAAACAATAGTATGGTCATAAATAACGATGGGGAAAGCGACTGAAAAGGGGTAGATCAAGGAGAAGGTTTGAAAAAAGGGTTGCTCGATCCATTACTAACAAACTAACGGCTCCTTTGTTCGTTTTTTATTGCCATAAACGTCAGTTTGCTTATTAAACTCTGATTTTAAATTGCGAAATGTGTTCTAACTTAAATTTATCTAATGATAAAAATCTAAAGGCCGACCGATGAGAAATCGGGCGGCACACTACACCCGTCTAGTAAACATGACTTAATTTTATTGATACACTATTCCTCTCGATAAGGCAAGCTCATCAGTTGGGTCAAAACAATCACGAGTTTTTTATACAAGAGGTTTTCTTATAACGAATAATATGCTTAACTTGAATGAAACAAAATGTTAATTGCTGGACTTTTTTTTTTCATGCTAGCGTTGTTATGTACAGCATGGTTTTTCTGATTCTCAGGGCTAAAGCGCAAAGCTGATTGGTCGTTAAAAGTTCCAGAATAGGATGTCAGTCGATTATGATAGAACATTATCGCATATCTCTTTCATTGTCGCAACAATGATTTAATTAATATCATGTTATTAGTATGCTTCTACTACTACAAGTACAATAACGACATCATTTATTGTGTATTATGTTGCGCCACATCTTAAGAATACAAGACACAAGCGAATAATAATAAGTGATAAACAACGGAGGTTTAATCTGAAGGACAAGACCAGCACTTAAAAAAAAAGCCTCTCATCACCAACTCTTCGGCAATATTGAGCGAACAAAATAGCCTACAAATTAAATCTCAAAGGTTGTCCATTGTATATTTTCCTCTCATAGTCAACTTCATTAATCCGAACCTCGTCAATCCGAAGAAAATTTCTGGTCCCAATTAATTAACATTAATAGTGAAGTTACCTCGATAATGAAATTACTGTAATTCGTATTTTTTGTTAACAAAAGCAAAAACCCTATTGTGCGTACAGAGAATCGTAATAAAATGAAAAGACAAAAAGAGAACTAAGTATTTGAACTGTGTAATATCAAGAACATTAAGAACCAAACGCTAGCAGCTTAATTTAAAATTGGTAATTAATAAACGTCTTGTTTATTGTTAACTAGTTTGCTTTAGTATTGGGCACAAAAGCATTTATTCCTATTCTTTTTTAATTAGAGTTCGGTTCTTAATATTAATATTAATGTAATAATGTGTGAACAATTATTTGTTCAATGGGTAAATTCGGATTATGAAGAAAACTTCAAGCTTTGGTCCAATGGACTTTGGATTAACGTGGTTGAGAATTTTTATCCACATTCTCACGCCATTATCTCACGTGAAACACGTGTATTAGTGGTAAATTTTGATCTACAATTTTCGTCGGCAGCATGTTGCGATCCAAAACTTACCTCAAACGAACGAAAAAAGGAATCGTGAAAGCTGTGCAGGAACATTACCTACGTGATGATATATGGTGTTCTGTCGAGTTCTGCTCAATATGTGCTCATACTCAACCAATTTTAAGCGCGAACCCAGCGACGACAGTCCTCGTTCCTACACCTCATTATCTTGTTCCCGATACGAATGTATTCTTTAATCAGGTTGGTAAAAAATCTTTACTGATCTTTGCCGTTTTGTGGTAACTTGTTCCAAAAGTTTCTCTGTAAGTCGGGTAAGCACTTGGCCCTCTTTTCCAAAAAGATTTTACGCAAGATATGTATGCTTGCTTTTGTCTCAAATGGAATTGTATTTCCGTCAAAGCATGTTCTGACCGACTAATGCTTTTTTTTTTGTGAATAAATGATTGCTGTTATTTATGAATGAGTGAATTACGACTAACAAGTATAAACGATGTTATATTTACTCACGCAGATTGACCTGATTGAGCATCCTGCTTTGAAAGACGTTATCGTGATGCAGACAGTGTATGAGGAGTTAAGACATTTGAATCTGACAATTTATAATAGACTGAAAAAAGTCATTGAAGATCCGCAACGCCGGTTTTATGTATTTTCCAATGAACATCATCGGTTAGTCAGTTGCTTGTGAATTTTATCAATTTTTATCCGCTTCTAATTTGTCTCCAATAATACACCATCGGGTATATAGCAAAACTTATGTAGAGCGTTTGAAACAAGAATCTCCTAATGACAGAAATGATAGAGGTTGGCATAGTGTTATTCATTGCTGATATTTGTTTATATGGAGAAAACTTAATAATATTGTATAGCTATACGAGAGGCTATTAAATGGTATACAAGTCATCTTCAAGACTCATCCACGAATGATCATAAAGTCGTACTTCTATCTGACGATGCTGCTAACCTAAAGAAGGCGAAATCGGAAGGCTTACTTGCATACTCTGGTATTTAGGAATTGTGATTTTATTATGTCATTGCTTTGCTGAAAAGTTCACGTTTTAATATAAATATACGTTCACAAATAGTTGAAAAGTACGTTGAATCGATTACAGAAACGCCTGAACTAGTTAATATGCTCAGAAACATGTCCGTCTCTGATGATTCTGAAAAGAAGGTTACATATGATGAGGTAATGTTTGGCTTCAGCAGGGAGCATAATTGATTAATATGTTTCTGTAGTATTTACTTTGAAATAGTATCTTAGTTCTGCGCAGATTGCAAATGGACTAAAGAATGGTACCTTATACCAAGGAACTCTCAGTATCAGTATGCACAATTATCTGGAGGTAATGGAGGTATCGCAGCATTTATATGTCACCTGCCTTAATCGTATAGTAATTATTCGTATTTGTTAGGGCTCTATTGCACCAGTCATTGATGGACAGGAAAATCAGATTATGATAATAAATCGCGATAGGATGAATCGTGCCATCCAAGGGGACGTGGTTGCTGTGCAGCTTCTTCCCAGATCAGAATGGCGCAGAACGCCATCAGCTGTCATTGTGGAAGAAGGTAGCGAGATGCGCTATCGGTATCTTGCATGATTTTACCTTTTAACGGATAAGCCTGCTTCTTACTATACGACTTATGTAGACGAGGAAAACGCTATTCTTCAGGATTTAAATGAAGCTGAGATCTCTCTCGACCAGACTAGTAATACAGATTTCGGAGAGCTCCAACCAACTGGTAAAGTAGTTGGTATAATTAGGCGAAATTGGAGATCGTATCTTTAACACTGAATTGCAAATTTTGTTGCTTGCTGCTACTCTTGTTTTTTGAGATTGTTCTTGACTGAAAGCTGCCGAACAGATATTGTGGTTTCATTAGCAAGAAAACAATCGATAGCTCAGGCCAAGCTAGATCAGAACATGTGACCGTTATTCCAATGGATCGACGAATTCCGAAGATTAGAATTGTAACTCGACAAGCTCGAAATTTCCTTGGACAACGTATCTTAGTAGCCATTGATTCGTGGCCGAAACATTGCATGTAAGAGGCATGTAATTAGTTAAAACGTATAAGAGTAAGGTATTGATTAAATTTCGTGTAAAGGTTTCCACAAGGTCATTTTGTACGAACTTTAGGTGCTGCTGGGGACAAAACAACCGAGACCGAGGTGTTACTTCTCGAGCACGATGTTCCTTTTCAAGATTTTTCGACACAAGTGTTGTCTTGTCTGCCTTCTGAGGGGGAATCATGGAAAGTAACAAATGAATATCAGCATAGGATGGACTTCAGAAATTTGAATGTTTCAAGCATCGACCCGCCTGGTAAATGTGTTGCATATTATTTGTTTTGAACATAAGCCCTTTATACTCAGATTTATCGTGTTTGTAAAGGTTGCGAGGACATCGATGATGCCTTGCACGTGCGTATTCTACCAAATGGGAATTATGAAGTTGGTGTTCGTAAGTGTAACCGTTTCTTCATTACATCATTGCGAACTGGAGAATGTTATTCTGATAGTTGCTATATAGATATTGCAGACGTTACGCATTTTGTGAAGCCTGGTACCTCATTGGATGAAGAGGCAGCGGTTCGGGGAACGACTGTTTATCTAGTCAATAAACGTGTGGATATGCTGCCAGCCTTGCTTGGAAGTAGTAAGTTTCGTGCAAAGTTGCTTATAAAACACGAACCGTAATGAAGCAATGGAATTTGTTTAGATTTGTGTTCCCTTCGAGCGGGTGTTGAGAGATTAGCGTTTTCGTGTATGTGGGTAAGTTTATCCATGTCTTTAAACCTTCCAACGCTCAGTTTGATTAGACTATATTTATATTATGAAGGAGTTAAATGATGATGCAGACGTTGTTAAGACCCAATTCGCAAAAAGCGTAATAATTTCAAAAGCTGCATTGACATACGAGGAGGCTCAACGGCGAATAGATGATTTGTAAGATGCAATTAATTTATTCATTTACGCGAATTAGGCATAATGACTATATAATTCAATTTTGTGATTTTAGGCACATGCAAGACGATTTGACCAAAGGCTTGCGCATACTAAATCAACTTGCCAAAAAACTTCGGGGAAAACGTATCGAACGAGGAGCTTTGACTCTTGCCAGTCCAGAGGTTCGATTCAAGTTAGAGAATGATTCTCAAGATCCCCTTGACGTTGGTATCCTTTATTGTGAAAGTATGTTACTTTGCAGTCTTAGAAGTATCCTTAGCAGCCGAAGAAATGAAAGAATTACGCGAAACCAATGCGCTAGTGGAAGAGTTTATGTTACTAGCCAATATATCTGTTGCCGAGGAGATTTTTAGGAAGTTTCCAGCTTCATCTTTACTGAGGTAAACTAAATTGAAATTTCGCTTGACGTGTTTCTTACGTACAGGTTAATTTACTGCAAACGTTATAACTGTAAAATCAGGAAACATCCTCCTCCGACTTCATCGAAATTAGAAAAATTGTCGAAAGCCATAGATGAATTCGGATTAACGCTTCAGTATGATTCCTCAAAAGCTCTTGCAGAATCCTTGGATAAAGCTGTTGTAAGTTTTCCCGGGCAACTGACAATAAATATTTGAGATTGTACATTCATAACTAGCATACTTTTGACTACAGATTCCGCAAGAACCTTATTTCAACACGCTTTTAAGGATTCTCACTACTCGATGTATGATGCAAGCAACATATTTTTGTTCCGGCAGTATACCTCAGAAGGAGTTTATGCACTATGGTCTCGCTACTCAAATATATACCCATTTTACATCTCCTATTAGAAGATACTCGGGTAGGTATGATTAAGCTGTTTGCTTTTCTCTCGGACGGACTTACTTATTATCACATTTCGTGCACAGATATAGTGGTTCATAGACTGTTAGAGGCATGTATTGATGAGAACTTATCATACGGAAGTGAATTAACGGACATTAAAAAGATAACTCAATTATGTGAAGGTAAAGTAACTAATATATTACGTGCTATCTTATGATAAAACAAAAATGAAAAAACAACACAACATGAGTGATAAGGAATAAGAAACGTGGATATACCGGTTTGAAGGTTTTTACTCAGCTCGTTTATTTTTGCGCTATTGGAATAGTTTTGAATTATCGTCACAGGATGGCTCAACAGGCCGCTCGAAGTTCAGTAGAGTTGCATACACACCTGTTTTTTAAAAACAGGAAAGAAAAGAATGAGGGCTTTGTCACACGCACATTGAAGAATGGATTTATTGCTTTAATTCCACGGTTAGTACTGATGATATTCCATCAAGATTTAAGCGACTCTACTGAAAATATTCTTAAATTTATTAGTTATGGAATAGAGGGTATTGTTTTAGCTGCTCAAAAGCCAGGCCTGATATCTCCAGTTGTGTACAATACACGCACAAATAGTCTTGACTCAACGTCTAGCTCAACGAAAATCAAGTTATTTGACAAAGTTTTGGTTCAAATAAGTGTAGATGAAGATCTTGTCGGGGAAGGAGCAGGAGGCATGAGACAGAAACTGAGAATAGAACTAGTTGAGCCTTTTATATTTGGTTTTAGTGTATCGGTAAGCGAGGAGAATAATAGTGTAAGACGATCCGATGAAGAGATTGGTATTCAAGTAAAGCGAATGAAGATGGACTAGATCCTGATCAGCTCACTCCGATAATATATTTTGACGTGTTATAATGTAAATCGAATCTAGCAGCAGACGAAACCATGCGAGTAGAATATATGGCTATAACACATTTCAGGATCTGTTGAGGCATCAGGTGATTTGAATGTGTTAAAATAAATTCTGAACCATCGAACGAGGGAATGCATTGTGAATAATATCTACAGAAATTCGCCACCTTTATTCTGTTAGGGATTATTTTGATTCGTGATTGGATCATCGTCTGATGAAAGTATTTAAACTATTCCATCGTATGTGGATTAGATCATCATATATTACGCCGACATAGAGATGTAAATCGAACTGTTTAGGAAAAAAGTTGAGGGCATAGTAAACACCATATTTATGTACGCGCTATCGTGTTTAAAATTAATTAAGATAAGAATTGCCCATATCACCTTTTATTAATTAATCATTATTATCGCATTGTATGCTCGCGTTCTATTTCCATGCAATCAAATTGAAATTTAAGATCAGATGTAATACTACAGTACATTGGGCACCAAAAAGTTTGTAATAAAACTTTTAGTGTTGTACTGAGGGTACGATAACAATGCTTGTTACATTGATTTGAGCAACTTGATTATACTTTTTGAAAAAAAAAAGATAGACAAAATACGCCAACGTTATTATATCACAGCAGTTTAATGAAGTGGGCAGTAGGTAAATGCATATATGGTCATACATTTTTTCCTCTTGTAATTTGTAAAGTGTTACTTTGTCAAATGTAGCTTTATAACAGTAATAAATTTTTTGGTTTCATACCTTTTATTATTGATTCACAAAAAGACTTTTTGTTGCTTCTGAATGAGCTCGTGAGTATATAAAATGCACAAGCTTTATTAATAAAAGCGACAGGAACCTACAATTATTATTACCGCCGACTTCTTCGTTATAATGTAAGCAGATAAATATCGGTAATAAAATTTATAGTAATTCGTTCTTATACTAGACGGGTATAGTCAAAGCTCACTATAATAAGATACGTTACAACGGAAACGCGATATGAAAAAACTTTATTGTCACAATTTGTAATAGATCATACATGCTATTATGAAAAATCCTGTGCTTTTACAGATTGTGCCCAATTTTCTGTTAGACAGTAAAGCCCGTTTTAACGAAAAGTTTCGTTTCGCCAAATAACTCGTTAAAGAGTTAATGCGGGACTCCTTCGTCAAGAGGAAATTTATTTTCCAATATTAATATCATCTTCCCGTTCCTTCTTGTTTAATTGTTTTCAATCCTCTGTTTTTACTGGTACAATATGTTTAAAGCATTTGTTTACGCAGTTACTCTGAGAACAAACTTTGACGCTTGGATTTTGCTGCTGACAAAATAAGGCAAGGTTATCGAGAGCTGTTACAGCTATAATAATAACGAATTGTTATGATAAACCGAGCTTTGTTATAATAAATCAAACGTCATCATGCCAATACGCCAATTTACATCGTTATATACGTCTTAATTATAAACCTTTCTTCAATTGAGAGCTAAAACACATATAATGAGTTGGTTTCATAAGAACTCGTTCTTTGTCGTTGTTAAACCGGACTTTACTGTGTATAATGCGCGTTTCCAGAAAAAGCAATCGACATTTACCAATTATTATGGAACTATTTGCAGCCAATAGAAGTTTGAAGACATAAATCGCATGCACCCGCTATTATTATTATGTATTAATAATAGTTGCACAAAATGTTGCACATGTTACTAGAACCAATTTGTAGATGTAGAACTAAATTGCGGGTTGGATTTTGTTCATTATGTTCACAACGTTGTGTGGCAGAATTCTTATACTAATAGACTTGACTTTCATAAATTTCTAGGTTCGTGAACGAATTATTCCTCTAGCAAGCAGTAATCAATTTACAGCAATACTCTTGCCGAGGCACTAAGCAGTTAATTTTGAATTTACTGGCGCATTACAAAATCTATCAGAATATTTATTGTGTTACTATGCGTGTATTAGATACGATCGACAAAAACGATTTTCGCGCCTCTTTCAAATGCTTAAAATTTCGTCTTCACCAATATGTCGCGTAAAAGCGTATCTATTCCCAAATTTATTTAAATAATCCAAATCTGTGTGCATATTTTCTTCATTATATTAAACAGGATGTCAAATGTTATGCATAGGATCCGCAAACGCCAATTCTTCCACGCAGTCGTTCTGCAGTATAATCACCATCCATATTATGTTAATAAGTTAGCACTCTAATAAACATAGCAAGTTAATCTGGTAACCAATGGCGATGAAATCTCTTACTGTTTTGATTTATTAAATATAGCAACGGAAATGCTTTGAAAGAAACCCAATTTTGTCTAATTTAGACTTGTTAGTCGCTGACATATGACAAATGTTTGTTACCGTCGTCCGTCTTTTCTATTATTAACGCAGGATGGCGTTTTTCGTCTGCTCTGGTAGATGCCAAGTTTTTCTATGCGCAATGTCTTTCAAGTATATTGTTTGTCCTGGATAAATGCAAACTGTTTAGTATGTATCACTCTGTTTGAATGTTATACTGGCTTGCTCGCTGGCCCGCTCGGTTAGTTGTATCACCCTTGTAGACAGAGCGGCATGAACTGATTGGGCATTTCTCCTTGAACAAACACATGTACGACATGTCCTCACCCAAAAAACAGTTAGAATTTGTATTTGAAGTACGGAAGGTATTCAATGATTCCAAGTTTCTCTTACTAACAACAATCAGCGTCATAGAGTAGTTACATTAGAATTTGACTCGCTTACTCTTTATTAACTATAATTAATTCCTTCGGTTTACCATTTGTTCTTCAGTCTCGTTCTCATCCACACATTTTGAGAAATAAGGAACGACCAATACAAGCACAGCACACTTAGGCACCCGAAGTTAACAGTAACCACCGCTTTCTACAACCCAATAGTACCATTATATAAGAAACACCTTGTATCTACTCCTAATATCCACGTTGATAAAACATACCGGAGTTTAAATATATGACTTCAGAAATAGCAATCCCCTCGCCTACGCCCGCTCGCCTTAATGCTCAACAACATAGAGCACGAAAGCCCTCGTTTAGTGTCAGCAAGACTGATCTATTACTAGAAACGTTGAGAGAAGAACAAGTGTCTAGTAGTCAACGAGCTGCCAGAGAATTTATTGAACAGACATTAGACATAAAACTACTTGGCAGTAATCTACACGAGTCTTTGAAAGATGGTGTTGTCTTATGCAGGTAATTATGACAAAAAATTGCGTTTGCTTAATTATATGAGATGGTAGAGCGCGTTAATTAGAAAGAATACCATGACCGGAAGATTAGGCGTAGGATTGCGTGTTCGGCTACACGATTCATAGCTAGTGAATAATTTGCAATATATGATGTCATCTGTATTTATAAGTTACATAAACTCGTTTGCTGTGGACATCTTGTGTTGCTGCGTCTCGTTATTTATTGCAATATTTGGCTATTGCTAACCATGTTAGATTATATTCTCTTTATTTAGTTTAATGAATCGGTTAAAGCCTAACTCAATACCACAAATCAGTCGAAAAAACTTACCTTTTGTCAAGGTACAAGAGGACCTTATACTTTGTAATTACCGCATTTGCATTGATTAACCAATTTTTGTTATAACCAAATAGATGGAGAACATACATAACTTCTTGAATGCAGCTCGACAGGTAAGATTCTAGTATGCTCCTCATGAACGTTACTTATGGACACGATGTGATCTAACAGATCTACCAATGCTAATATTACAGTTTGGTCTACATAACTCTGACTTATTTGAAACAGTTGATTTGTTTGAGGGAAAAGATATGGAGAGGGTGTGTATTAGTAGACTATGACACGGGTGATATCAGACTTGTATAACCATTGCTATTACTGTCGACACCATGTTGTTATTGTCAAGTTGGTAATTACGGCATTTTTATTAACACGCATCATTATTTAGGTCGTGGCAACCATCTTAGCATTAGCACGGATTGCTGCTGGTAAATATACTTGCCGACGGTCAGACGTATCAATAGAAAAGCATAATACGAAAGAACAAGGAAGATTTAAAGAAAACACAGAACAACCCAATAAAATAGAGAATCAATTACCGAGTTCTCACGGAGCAATACCTAATAGTGAAATAAGTCGGCGAGCACGTGGTGATTCACGGAGATTAACTCAGCCCCCAACAGACGGGGACCAGGTGATCATAGATGCAGTAAAGAAGTCACGAAGGCACTCTTTAGCTGATACTAAATTTCGTATGGAAAGAACACTTAATGAACGGTCTATAGCGGAACGGACAATTGCTGAGACTGAATGGACATTGCCTCCTACACACCGACAGAACTCTGTCACAAATGGTCAGCTAGAGAGAAATTCTAGTGCACCAGAATTATTTTCAATGGACGAGAATGTTGCAAGCGAAGAAACAAATCTTCAGAAGAAGAGGCCTAGTTTACGTAAAGTAGTAACTATGGGGCAATTATTTACCAAAGTAAATGAAAATGATCAAGACGAATCCGAATTTATTGATAATCAGATACCACCATTGCCATCTTCAGCAAGCATTGAGAAATCTGAGAACGATATTGGATTAAAAATTTCGCGAAGATCTAGTCACATTAAGACTCACGTACGATATAAGAGTGATAGGACCGCAGAGATATCGTTTAACAAAAATGATCGAATAATGGCATTTCCAGAAGTTCGACCTCGTAGAGAGAGTTTAGTGGGAACAAGTTTGCTTACTACAGATATAAGAGATCGTGAAAAGCTTGTACTTATGGAGGATGGTCAAATAGTGGCTCAATACCAATTAGGTAACTGTATTGGGAAAGGACAATTTGGGGCTGTATATAGAGCCCTCCATCTCGGCACTGGACAAATGGTGGCTGTTAAACGCATAAAATTAGACGGGAGGAAAGATGAGGAAATTCAACAACTCATGCAGGAAGTCGAGTTACTCAAGTCTTTATCTCATCCTA